TCACTCTGTAGCCCAGGCTGGAGCGCAGGGGCGCGATCTGGGCTTACTGCAACCTCCACCTCCTGGGTTCAAGCAGTTCTCCTGCCTCGGCCTCCCAAGTAGCTAGGATTACAGGTACCTGCTGCCACGCCCGGCTAACTTTTGTATTTTTTAGTAGAGACGGGGTTTCACCATGTTGACTAGACTGGTGTTGAATTCCTGCCTCAGCCTCCCAAAGTACTGGGATTACAGGTGTGAGCCACTGCATCCAGCCTCCACCTAGTCTTATCTTAATGAATGTACTTTGCACTCATCATTTTGGAAAGTCTTTTTTTTTTTTTCTTTGAGACAAAGTCTCACTCTCTTGCCCAGGCTGGAGTGCAGTGGCGTGATCACAGCTCACTGCAGCCTTGACCTCCCTGGGTTAACATGATCGTTCCACCTTAGCTTCCTGCATAGCTAGGACCACAGGCACATGCTAGCATGCCCCACTAGTTTTTGTATTTTTTGTAGAGATAAGAATCGCCATGTTGCCCAGGCTGGTCTTGAACTCCTGAGCTCAGGTGATCCACCTGCCTCGGCCTCCCAAAGTGCTGGGATTACAGGCGTGAGTCACCTCGCCTGGCCCAAGTTTTCACTTTTTAATTCAATGTACCAACCCAGTCTAATGCAGAAACCACTGTCAGGGAACTGGTAGTACATTTGTGGGACTAAACTCTCATTATGGCTTAATTTTCATTTAAAGTAGGTATTTGAAATCATGGTTTCATTCAGCAGTGGCTGAAACTTGCTTTAGGTTTTGGTTTTCATCCAATAAACCTCCTGTCTGATGTTTTGTTTCCCTTCTGATACGTTCAACTTTCAAGTCAGTACAGGTTGAATGTCCCTTATCCAAAATGCTTAGGACCAGAAGTATTTTGGATTTTGGAATTTTTTTAGGATTTGGAATATTTGCATATACTTATTGAGATATCTTGGGGATGGGACCCAAGTCTAAAAACATGAAATTCATTTGTATCATTTGCACCTTATACATATAGGTGGAAGGTAGTTTTATAAAATATTTTTGATGCTTTTGTGCATTAAAGTTTTGAGTATATATATTTTTGTTTTGTTTTGTTTTTGAGACAGTCTCACTCTGTCACCCAGGCTGGAGTGCAGTAACACGCCCTCATCTCACTGCAACCTCCACCTCCTGGGTTCAAGCAATTCTTGGTGTCTCAGCCTCTTGAGTAGCTGGGATTAAAGGCGTGTTGTGCCATGACACCCAGCTAATTTTTTGTATTGTAATAGAGATGAAGTTTCAGCATATTCACCAGGCTGGTCTCGAACTCCTGGCTTAAAGTGATCTCCTGCCTTGGCAACCAAAAGTGCTGGGATTACAGGCGTGAGCCACTGCGCCTGGCGAGTTTTGACTATATTTTGACTGTAACCTGTCACATGAGGTAAGACACAGAATTTTTCACTTGTGGCATCATGTCTGTGTTCAAACAATTTTGGATTTCAGAGTATTTTGATTTCAGATTTTAATATTAGGGCTGCTCAACCTGTAGTTAACCAGCACATAATACTAAGGGTATACAGCTAGGTCAAACTCCACATTGACCAAAGTTCAGGTTTATCTATGTTTATGAAATGATAGCCAAGGAAATGTCTGGGTGGAAGAAAAGTTTGTTTTTACAAGCAACTGTGTTTCACATTTCATTCACTTAGCAGTGTAGAATAAGTCGTCTGTATTTCATGTGTAGAGGCCTTTATCTTAACTCACTTGAGTTTTGCTCTTGTTGCCCAGGCTGGAGTGCAATGGCATGATTTCAGCTCACCACAACCTCCACCTCCCAGGTTCAAGCCATTCTCCTGCCTCAGCCTCCCAAGTAGCTGGGATTACAGGTCCTCGCCACCATGCCTGGCTAATTTTTGTATTTTTTTAATAGAGACAGGGTTTCACCATGTTGATCAGGCTGGTCTCAAACTCCTGACCTCATGATCCGCCTGCCTCAGCCTCCCAAAGTGCTGGTATTACAGGCGTGAGCCACTGCGCCTGGCTGGAAGTAACTGTTTTCCCTGCCCACCTGCAACCTGTGAAATAGTCTTAAGACTCAGCATCTGTATAGTCAGTTTGTAAATTCTCTCCTCTCAGGTATGCCTGGTGAGACTCGCCCTTCAATGCTGACTTGTTGATCGGTGTAGAGAACAGATAGAAGAACAAGGGAAAGGCAAAGAAGGAGAAAAATACAGGATTCAAAGACTGCTCTGCACACTGAAAAGTCATAGTGAGTCCTTCAAATGCTTAGATGACATAGTACTGAGATTTTGTTAGGAGGAACCCCAAATTTGTGTATGGACAGAGGATGATTTTAAATGCTTTGTTTACTACAGAAAACACATCAGCTTTTTAATATCAGCTGTTTAACTTATCTCCCATATCCCTTCTAAATTATGAGAGAATGGCCTCCAGGTAATGGTGTGTGTAAATTCATACATTACTCATTCCTGAAACCCCAGGAAGAAAGGGATTTTTATATTGTATTAGCATGTAAGCAAAAGATGGTGGAGGAGTTTGAGACCAGCCTGGGCAACATAGTGGGAGTACTCTATCACTAACAGAAAGAAAGAAAAAAAGGATGGAGAGAGGGAGACAATGGGACTTGTTTTTCGCAACAGACTCAGTGGAATTGTTTGAAACTCTGTACCCATATAACATTGACACAAATAAAGATAATGAAAATATTTAGAAGTAAATCCTACAAAAGGCAAGGAGGTTAGTATTAAGTATTTGGCCAGGTGTAGTGGCTCATGCCTGTAATCCTAGTACTTTGGGAGGCCTAGGCAGGCGGATCACTTGCAGTCAGGAGTTCAACATGGTGAAACCCCATCTCTATTTAAAAATACAAAAATTAGCCGGGTGTGTTGATGGGTGCCTGTAATCCCAGTTACGCAGGAGGCTGAGGCAGGAGAATTGCTTGAACCCCAGAGGTGGAAGTTGTGGTGAGCCAAGATCACGCCACTGCACTCCAGCCTAGGCCACAGAGTGAGACTCCATCTCAAAAAAAAAAAAAAAAGTTGCATATAATTTGTAAACTTTGACTCTGTGTGTCCACTGGGGCCCTTCCTATAGTGAAGGCATATGATAGATTTCTCCCCATTTAAAGAAAATTTAGAAGGTTATGTGTGTCTTTGTGTCTATGGCACTTTGTCAAAGCTCTGATTCAGCCAGATGCAGTGGCTCATGCCTGTAATCCTAGCACTTTGGGAGGCCAAGATGGGAAGATCGCTTGAGCCCAGCAGTTTGAGACCAGCCTGGGCAACAGAATGAGACCCCATCTCTATAAAAAACTAAAAATTAGCCGGGAATGGCAACATGTGCCTGTAGTACCAGCTACTCAGGAGGATCACTTGAGCCCACGAGATGGAGTCTGTAGTGAGCCAGGATTATGCCACTGTACTCCAGCCTGGGCGACAGTGAGACCCTGTCACCAAGGGGGGAAAAAAAGCCAGATGTGGTGGCTTATGCCTGTAATCCCAGCACTTTGGGAGGCTGAGATGAGTGGATCACTTGAGCCCAGGAGTTCAAGACGGTTCCTGGGCAACATGGTGAAACCCCATCTCTACAACAAATACAGCACATGCCTGAATTTCCAGCTACTCGGAATACTGAGGCAGGAGAATCTCGAACCCAGGAGGCGGAGATTGCAGTGAGCCGAGACTGCGCCATTGCACTCCAGCCTGGGCAACAAGAGCAAAACTCCGTCTCAAACAAAACAAAAACAAAAAACAAAAATACAAAAATTGTATTTTTGTTGTGCTGGTGTGTTCCTGTAGTCCCAGCTACTCAGAAAGCTGAAGTGGGAGGATCGCTTGAGCCCCGGAGGTCAAGGCTGTAGTGAGCCATGATTGTGCCGCTACACTCCAGCCTGGCTGACAGTGAGACCCTGTCTCAGAAAAAAGAAAAAAAAAAGCTCTGATTCATTTTCTGAATCTTTTGTCAGGAATACAACCCCTCAAGTTACAACATTGCTCCAGAGGGAAGCTGTGGCCTGTTGGCAGGCATGTTTCCCTGGATTGGAAGTTGTGTCATTTTGTGAAGAAAAGCAGAGACCACTTAGTATATTGTTCTCCTTGCAGTTGCTCTTGAGAACTGGAAGCACCGTGCTCCTGGGAGCCTTTCTTGCCTCATAGACTTGTCTCCTGTTTGTACCGCCTCTCCTTTCCTTACTTCCTCTCTATCTTATCAAACAAAGATGGTATATTTTTCCATTGCTCACTTTGTGTTACTGGCTCTTTGTGGTCCTGCTGACCTAAAGATGTTTAACTTACTACTAATAGTCTTCTTTGTGTGATCGCTGTCCCCTTGGGACATGTTCTGTTCTCATTACTCATTTATGTGCAGGATGTGAGATGTAGGAAAAGCTGGTATCCTTTCAGACCCTTTTTAATTTATTTGTACTCCTGTTGAATTCACCATCACTGGTACCTTTGTGAAGAACTGACTTTCCAGACGTGAAAACCTTTTCTGTCTGAACTCCTAGATCACATTTTAGATTTCTTATGGCTTCATGCATGTTCTACCCTTGTTTGTTCATACCTGACCTCCTCTAGTAGGGTGTAATCTTCCTGAGGCCAGGACAAGTATCCTTCTTCTTAGTGTTCCCACTGTACTGACCTAATGCAGTGATACATACGTTGTGAATGTGTGAATTCTTGAAAGTTCAAAATTGCATTGATTCTGTTTCAGTCAAAACCTCTGTAGGATTTACATAGGTATTTGATTTGTTTGTCCTCAACCTCAGATTATGTGTCCCTGTTTCCGACTTCCAAATCTAAAAACAGAGGAGCTCTCTAAAGGCCTTAAATCTCTAATGACTTCTCCCATTTAGATTTATTAAGCACCCGCTGAATGCCTGGTCTAGATATTTTGTTATAGTGGGCAGATACCTTTTACAATTCAGATTCAAAGACAAAGCAAGTACATGAAACAATTGGAGTAGTTACAGGCAGCATTATCACAATGTACAAATTAAATATCTGTGGTAGATACTGATTTTGTATTTTGGTCTTGTGCAAAGAAGCACCCAAGAATGTTTGTCTAAAACATGAATATGGCCAGGAGAGGTGGCTCACACCTGTAATCTCAACACTTTGGGAGGCCAAGACAGGAGGATCAATTTAGCCTAGGAGTTTGAGACCAGCCTGGGCAACATAGTAGGAACCCCAATTCTACAAAAAAAATTTTCTAAGTTGGCCAGGCACAGTGGGATTACATGCCTATAATCCCAGCACTTTAGGAGGCTGAGGCAGGCAGATCAATTGAGGTCAGGAGTTTGAGACCAGCGTGGCCAACATGGTGAAACC